ATGGGCTAGCTGAAAAATCTACTTTAAAGCCTCCGCTTTTGAGACCTCTAATCTCTCTTTATATTTACAAGCATTCTAAAAAATAAAAAAGAAACAGCACCTCAGACTTTCCTCATGGTCTTCACTGAGGACTGAAGAAAAAGCATCAGCAATGCCCTGGAGCTGAAGAATTCAGGTCAGAGCTTAAAAATGACTTTGCTGACTGGGCTGACTGTTGGGTCCTAGAAAATACCAAGAGAAATTGGGAGAGAACTTTCCTGAAAAGACTCAGAAAAAAATGCACAGAATCCCAGGCTCAACACATAGATTTCAATTTCATCTTCCTCTTTTTAACTATGTTTTCTTTTACTTATTTTTTGTTTTTGTTGATAACCATTGCTTCATACTCTGAGGTTGGACTGGCTTTATGGAAATGAGAGAAATAAGGCAATGCAGTCACCTGCCTAATGTCAGGAGGTAATTTAGAGGTGTAGTAGGAAATACTCAGAAATTTTAAAGGATGGTCCCATCTTCCACCATCTCTTCAGGGGACACGGCCAGGGAGAATTGCCAGATAAACAAAGAGAACAAAGAAATCAGCCACTTGGTTTTGCCTTCTGAAAAAACAAACAAACAAACAAAAAACAGCTTGTGAAACTTAAAGGTGAGACAAGAAACTTCTGATTTGCCAGAGCTGGGTATGTTATAACTCAAAAGGCCAAAGGCCGGAAGCGGCAGAGAAACAGAGCACACTAGGAGACGGGAAGACAGCGACTTAGACCTGCCTCATACATCCTCCATGCTGACATCCAGCGTTGACCAAAGTAGGGCAACAAGAAGTAAAGCTCTGAGGAGAAGATCATGCAGGTGAGGGGCAGATTCTGCTCTCCACAATTCTCCCCGTCTGTTTCTCCCACAATTCTCTCCACAATTCTCCCCAGTTCCAGACCCTAGGTTGGAAAGAGGTGATGCTGAAACCCAAGACAGACGGAGAGCCCCAGCAGTAAAAAGGACCTGTGTTTGCCTACCAGTTTGAATACCAATTTGAGGCAAGCCTCATAAAACTGTGCTCTGCATTGAGTAGAAATGGTTGCCAGGAACCTCTAAAAGGAACTAGTGCACATCTTGGTCTAACAACTGATCCATGAAGAGAAGGCTTGAGATAGCAACCTCCCCACAATCTTTCTTGATGCCAGAAAACTACAGAAGGGTCTCCTCAAGTTTTCTGTGTCCCTGAACAGGGCCAAGTAGAAACTGAGAGGACTAGTAAACCCAGAAGAGTCTAACAGAGAAGAAAGACGATTTGCCGTAGCCTAAGTGGACAAGGTGAGTACAGGTCTCTCGGTAGACACAGTGAGAATGAACACCACTCGCCTAACTGAAGATGTTAAGAACTCCAGTTAGGTGGATGGATCCCAAAGAAAGAGAAAACACTAGAAAATGCCTCCCACTAATGCTGCAGCTCATAGGCTCTTAGCCCACCTCCACTTTCCAGAATTCAGGTGCAGCCCTGCATTAACAGAATTGACCTGGAAGTGACTTTATAAATGTTTCACCTCAGATGAAATGAGGTTCAAAACAGAGGCAAGGTTGAAAATAAAATATCAATACAACTGTGTGTGTGTGTGTGTGTGTGTGTGTGTGTGTGTGTGTGTGTTGCCACAGTTTTTACAGGCCTGTATTTATAAGACTGTAAACTCTCATTTCTGCAATAGGCACAGAAGTAAGACCGCTCCTCCCATGGTCCAGAGCCATAATGTGTCTCAGAGGCAGGGATGCCTGTGGACAGCATGCCCACTGCCTGCAGCTTCTGGAAGGGGCTGCTGACAGGTAAGGGGAGGTGGACTGCATGCTCAGCTCTTCTTCCTCCTCCCTCTCTCCACACCCACAGCTAAGTTGCCAACTGAAAGCTGCCTTTTATTTCACCTCTGCTTTCCCCCTTGTACCCATGCCCTCCTCTTCATTTGAACTGCCACCACCTCAGGTCAGCCCTTGTTGCCTGTCACAAATTATTGTGAAAGCTTCACGGAAAGAGGTGTCAAATCAAAGGAAAAGGTCAGCCTTACTTTGCTCAATTTTGTCCAGGTAAAGCATTATTAACTTGAGTGTTTCATTCCACAGAATGACTCTGGGAATTTATCAATGCCCTCACTGCCCCAAATGTGTTCTTATCCTTTAAGAAAACACTGATCAAATCCCTATTAGATAGTTTGGCCAGGCACAGTGGCTCATGCCTGTAATCCCAGCACTTTGGGAGACCGAGGCGGGAGGACTGCTTGAGGCCAGGAGTTCGAGACCAGCCTGCGAAACATGGCAAAAACCCATCCCTACTAAAAATATAAAAATTAGCTGGATGTGGTGGCATGTGCCTGTACTCCCAGCTATTAGAAAGGCTGAGGCAGGAGAATCGCTTGAACCCAGGAGGTGGAGGTTGCAGTGAGCCAAGATAGCAACACTGAACTCCAGCACAGGTGACAGAGCAAAAGTTTGTCTCAAAAAAAAAAAATCTGTATTAGACATTTAAATGTTGTACCCTAAAATGTGATTATTTTCTCCTGCATTAGGATACTGTGGGTACTGTCATAATTACTACCACCAACAGGTAGCTTCTGCTTCCCCTCATGCTTACATGAAAATTCTACTGTAAGTCAGATCCTAGAAGTGTGGTCTTTAACAATGAAGGACAGTCTTAGAACCTCATGGAAAGAACTGTACCAAGTTTGAACTATTGACACTTCAGGTAAGACTCATTGATGCAGACTTCCAAGGTGGTATTTCTTAGATAATTTCCAAATGGTGTTCATAAAAGCAAACTGTTGACCCAAGAACTGGTAGAGCAAAAATAATTATAATGGACTGAAGGAACTGATGAGGAAATAGAATTTTAGTTGTTTTGTAATATTGTTGGTATTATTTTTAATGTTCTATTTTCTGATATGATGGAGTTCTGTTTTTCCCTGATCTCTCCCTCACCATTAACTTAGTAGTCTGTGCTTTTATAACGTTGTGAAATGAAACATTTTTAAATGGTAATCTTGTTCTCACTGACCTTTCAGAATTCAGGAACAACACTTTTTCTGAGTCTCTTTACTTTTAATGGCAATGGAGTTACTTGTATAGATTCAATAAGAATCTGTTCTCATTTTTACCTGTAAATAATTGAACAAATAGATGGCACAGTCAAAGCCATACCTGGAGGGTCAGTCTCATCTGCTTACATACGAAGTCCATCATTAAGAAACAAGAGTTGATCTTTATTTGGAAAATCATGATGCTCTCCCAGAAATATGGATTGTTACCTTATAATGGCAGACTTGGAGACCATCTCTTTGAAAGAGAGTTGGATTCACCCCCATTTATAGATGCTACAGGCAAAACAGTGACAATGACTTTTTTTTTTTTTTTTTTTTTGAGATGGAGTCTTTCTCTGTCACCCAGGCTGGAGTACAGTGGTGCAGTCTCAGCTCACTGCAACCTCCACCTCCTGAGGTCAAGCGATTCTCCTGCCTCAGCCTCCTGAGTAGCTGGGATTACAGGCACCTGACAACATGCCCAGCTAATTTTTGTATTTTTGGTAGACATGGGGTTTCACCATGTTTGCCAGGTTAGTCTCAAACTTTTGACCTCCAGTTATCCACCTGCCTCGGTCTCCCAAAGTGCTGGGATTACAGGCACGAGCCACAATGCCTGGCTGTCAATGACTTTCTTAGTTTAGTTTCCTAGCCTCAGAATAAAGAGCAAAAATAAAAACAGTAAACAATATACCTGGAATAAGAGAGGCTTCTGAAATTTCTAAGGATTTTAAAGAAATCTGTAGAAAGAAGTTAATTTTCTGGGCTTTGTAGTTGCTTAACACCACATGGCTTTAGATTTTCTGACCAGACTACAAAGAGGGTTACCTATATTAGTTAACTAACTGTTCTTACTGCATATATATCTAAATGAATCAGGCCTAAATGCAATGAGATTAGCTTTCTGGAAATCAAGGATAATCTTTGGAGATTATTTGTAATCACAGTGTTTCATGGTTTACAATGTCCTTCCGCATCCTGACTTAAACCTCCCAAAGAGCTTTTAAACAAAATAGTCCTGAAGTAATCATGATCACACTTAGATTTGAAATCTTCATCTATTTGCCCCGGAAAAGACAACATGGCTTTTAAAGAGGCAAATAAACACTCATACCCCATTCATTCTGCTCCATTACAAATCATTCCTAGATTTATAAAACATAAGCATATGCATGAGCGTGCGTGCGTGCGCGCACACACACGCACGCACACACACACACACACACACAGAGAGAGAGAGAGAGAGAGCGAGAGAGAGAGAGAGAAGCCAACTACAGCTGAGAAAGCCCAATTCCACAGAAAGCAAATTCAAACAACTATCTTGGGTCTCACCAAGGAAGGCTCAAAAAGAGGCTGAGGCCGGTGAGACAACATTACGTTCTCCATCATGAAAACATCCAAATGAGCCCAGCCTTCCCTTCCCCTCTCAGTCTTGGAAGAGAAACAGCTACCCCTAGGGAGGTATTCTCTTTCATCTGTCCCCTGGCTCTGTGCTGCCTTACAAGTAGAATATATTAATAAAGAAATACTTTGGGAGAGAACTCTCTCCACTGTTGCAACATCTCTGCAGTCTCTGTTTTGATATTTGGCCTTGAGAAGTTCAAAAGATTTGAAATATTAGAGTTCAAGAAAGACCAAGATGTACCCTAGGGCAGGTCCCGGTCTTAGATGCTGAAAAACATGCTACTCCCACACCATAGCCAATATGACCTCTAAAAGAACCTAGTGGATATCTTGGTCTAACAGGATTATTCTCAAAGGCTCTTCTTCTTCCTTTTAATGGTAGTTGAAGGCAATTCAGTTTAGGGCCCCTAAATAAGCTGGAGTACTTACTTGTCATGTCTGCTCATTTCTCCAGTTTGTTCCTGGTGCCCGGGACAGAGCTCGGCCACATCAACCCTCCGTGACCCCTCATCCCCGCTCAGGGATTCTCTGGAGACCCCCACTCACCATTCTTTTCCGCCTTGTGCTTTGGTGGCTCAGGCTCCGGGAGACAGGGACAGGGTCCATCACAGAGGGTGGCGAGGCTTTTGCCAGTAGAACAAGCATGGAACTCCAATTTGCACTGCAAAAGAGAGACGGAACAGGCCTTAAGAACGCAGCAACAACAGACTCCCTACTTCGCCTGCTAAGAAACAGCCAGTGCCCTGTGCATCACAAAAGCAAAGACAAAGCAGGGACAGGTCCACCTCAGTAAGAGGTCTGAATTACAGAATACTGAATAAGAAATGGCCTTTTATATTTTTCCAAATGCAGAGGGTAAGTAACTTCTAAAAACACTGTGGAAGCCCTGGAAGACTTCCTTTAATGATGGCAAACTCTACTGTCACCATTTCTAAAATAAAATCATTCATATGAAACTTAACATCTGCGGAGTCCTATCTGGTCCAGGTAGCCCCTCCCATTCACTTGGAGGCATCTTCTCCACACTCCTCCCATGGGGAGGCAGCACCGCTGGAATGCCACTCCTGGTCCCTCTCAGCCTGCTCACATGCTCTTCCTGAGAAGGAAGAGCAACAATCCCTTTAGTACGTCTGGAGGGTAATCTGAGGCTCAGCCCTTTCCCCTTGGGAGCAACAAGGAGTGAATGCTCTTGCTTCCATTGTCTAAAACCTGTTTACATGGGTCTTCCCCATCAGAGGATGCCTATGGTCTAACTGCTTGTGACTCCATGGAAATGTTTACCTAATTCTAAGATTCAATATTGGAAGCTCATAATCCACATCCTCTTGTCAACCCTTTATCAGTAGCAATGGTAATATTTTAGTCATTTTTCTTTTTGAGACAGTTTCATTCTTGTTGCCCAGGCTGGAGTGCAATGGTGTCATCTCAGCTCACTGCAACCTCCACCTCCCGGGTTGAAGTGATTCTCCATCCTCAACCTCCCGATTAGCTGGGATTACAGGCATGCACCACCACCCCCAGTTAATTTTGTATTTTTAGTAGAGATGGGGTTTCTCCGTGTTGGTCAGGCTGATCTTGAAATCCTGACCTCAGGTGATCCACCCACCTCAGCCTCCCAAAGCGCTGGGATTACAGGCGTGAACCACCACGCCCGGCTATTTCAGTCATTTTCTGTCAGCTCTTTACTCAGCGAATTCTCAGAACACAGGCAGGAGAGAGGAATGTTATTAACAGGTACAAAAGACCACAACAATTATCAGCATTTTTATTATCCCCACATATGGAAGAAGAAATTGAGACTCAGGCTAAATAACCTGCAAAAGCTCACAAAGCTCAGGGCTAAGCACTTAATTCATTCCAGAAAACTGTGTCTCTCATGTAGATAGTGCTTCGGAATATAGACATCTCATACTGAACTGTGTGTGTCTAATTATGCGACTTTGCTATTGGCCTGGATCTGCGTTGTCTGAGAGTTTACTCCTTTTTTGTCTGTAAATTTCTCAAGATCAAGGCCGGTGTGTAATCGGTCCTCTGCAAAGACCCACCGGCCCAGGACCACATGCGTATCTGGTGGAGGTTCAAAGGAAGAAGAGATAGGTGAAATTTAACGAGCACCCACTGTGCATGCAGCTCTTATCAGGTGCCATGGGGAATCTTTTAAATGAAAGAAAAGCGGAGATACAGTCCTTGCCCTTGGAAAACACAAATGCATACCTTTGAAAAAAGTCCACTAGCATTTGCAAAGCCACACACGAGTGCAGATAAATACTGGCTTATTGTGAGAGGACAAGCTATTCAGTCCCTATACTGATTAAAAACGGAGGGAAAGAGTGCTTTAAACCTGGTTCTGAATGTACTGGAGTCACTCCTGTGTCACTCCAACGATCACCCATACAGTTGCTGGCTGTCCTTACAGGGAGAGAGCAACAGAGCAAACCTACAGAGTGCTGGCTCCCTCCCGGTACAAAACTCCCGCTTGTGCATGTTTGTGAAGTGCCTACTACGTGCCCAGCATAGCAGTAGTCATTGTGGGAGCTATATAGAAAGAAGCCACGGCCCACGCCATCAACTGAGCTGATGAAGCAAAAAAGAGTGTGTCCTTGTAAAGCCATGTGGATGTGACTATGAGGTGAGGCAGGAAATAAGTCTAGGTAGGGACGGGGCACAAACGAGGCCCACAGGTATGGGATGTGCCTAGAGAGAGCACCTGGACCGAAGGTGAGCCGAGTGGAACGCCGGAAGGCAGCAGGCAGGTCACTAGCACGACGAGTTTCCTTTCACTCAGCACAGCGTGTGTGCACGTGCCCATGGCTGGACACGGCTGCCGTTACCAGCCTGCTACCTTCTCCGCCTCTTCTGGGCTAGCTCTCTGGAACAATCCTCAGTTTCACATTAGTGGTTCTCTGGCTTATTAACAGAATCCTTAAAGCTAATTTAGGGGAAAAAAATATTTTTATGTGTCCACTTATTTTATAAAGTCCAAATTATTACCTTTATTTATCACAAAGCCTTATCATGCTATTGCTGTTATTGCCTGATTGTATCTGTGATAGACTGTGAGACTCCTCACTCTCCACTCCATTCTCTTCTCTCTCTCAGAGAGGAATCCACACTCCTTCTCCAGGCCCCCCATCTTGCCACAGCACCTCCCTGTAGGAGGGTCAACTTGCCTACCAGCTCTAGCCACATGCTCAGTCCGACCAGTGGTGGTTAGTAGGAGGGATGCAAGCCAGGTTTGAGCAGCCATGTCAAGAATCACTGGTTTCATCACCTCTCTCGCTGTTCTCTACCACGAAAATGATGCACCAGATAAGGGCTGCTCCCTTCTGCCCAGGACCCAGAAGGCAGAGAACATGGAACAGAGCTGAAGTGTTCTGGACAGAGCCACAGCTAACACACAATGTGAACACAGAAACAAGGTGTATTTGTAATAAGCCAATGATGTTTGGCGATTATTTGTTATTACAGTATAACTTAGCAAAAGCTGACCAACAGAATGGCTTACTTCCTACTAGATCATGAAGGCCTTACCAACAAGAAAAGGTTTTAGTCACTGATGTAACCCTGGTATGATATGACATACACAGAGCCCTGGCATATAGTAGGTGTTCAATAAACAGCTGCTGAATGACAAAGACAGAAGGAAGGGAGAAACCCTTTACTCTGCTGCTCTGGACCTCTGTTCCAGTCCCCGGGTGCTTATCAATCTGCCTGTGCAGGGAAGGAAGTGCTGGAGCTCAGCACTCAACACCTTCATCCGGAACCATCCTTCACCTGTGTCTACTCCGAGACCCCCTCTGTGAGCTCCACATTCAGTACTCTGCCTCTCAGCCTCCCTGCTCACACCAACCTATCACTGGAGTACGGACTCTCCGGGTGGACTTGCCATGACTGGGAACTCTGTGGACTGTAGTTCCTGAAACTCCACTTTCTCGGCTGGCCTGCAGCATCCCCTCCCCTGCCCAGCCCTGGTGGCCATCTCTGCAAGCAGCCCAATCACTTCCCTAGCTACAGAAAGGCACCACCAGAGAAAACAGTACTTACCTCTTAACTGCATCAGTGAAAATCCATGTTCAAGGGCATAAATCTGTTTTTTACCTTTCAGGATAATATGTGGCATTTCAATGACGCTTAAAAGGCTATATAATTTCTTTTTTTTTTTTTCTTTTTTAAGAGACAGGGTCTCGCTCTGTCACCCTGCTAGACTGCAGTGGCATAATCATAGCTCACTGCAGTCTTGAACTCCTGGGCTCAAGCGATTCTCCTGCCTCAGCCTCATGAGCAGCTGGGACTACAGACATGTACCAGCATGCTTATTTTTTTTTAATATTTTGTAGAGATGGGGGTCTCACTGTATTGCCCAGGCTGGTCTCAAACTCCTGGGCTCAAGCCATCCTCCCACCCTAAGCCTCCCCAAATGCTAGGATTACAGGCAAGAGCCACCATATCTAGCCATAATTCCATTTTGTATAGAGCTCAAAACAGACTATTTAGAGATACATATACATGTGGTAAAACCTCCTTTAAAAACTGGCGGGAGAGAGGACCACAAAGATAGGGTCACTTTCCCAGGGGAGGCAGCAGGATTGGCCAGACAGGAGCCCCAAGGAAGCGTCACAAACATCAATAGCGTTTTATTTTATAAAGTAAGCATTAGATTCTGAGGCTTTTGTTCTGTTACTAGGCTTGACAACTTCTATAAATAATATATACGTTTTTATGCATCAAAGACTTTATGATAAAATATAAAACAATGTGTATAGGCTTCTATGGATGTGACAACCAAGCTAGAACCGCACCTCCCAGAAAGCTCCGTGAGCAAAACCAGCAAGTGTGGGGAAAGCCCTCCAGGAAGGATGCAGAGTGTGAAGCTCCGCTCCTGAACCCACTGCCTCCCACAAATGTTCTCCTCCCACAACACTTCTCTAATTCTCACCCTTGAAGTCACCCTCCCATCACTTTCCCTCATCTTCCCTCCTCCGTCTCCCAGGTTCTTTCTAGGGAAGAACAGATACAGAAGCCAAAACCTGATCATCATTTCAGCTTTACACAGAGGAGTCTACGTAAAGACTGCAAATCTCTGCTGTGTAAGCCACCCAGTTCTTGTGGCACTTTGCTTCAGTAGCACTAACAAATTAATATACTTTCCATTCCAATTTTTTAAAAAAGAGATAGACTCTAAGGAATGAAGACACTTTGTCTTAGGTTTATAAAGCTCAGATCTTTGTGCCAAGATGGCTCAGCTCTACTGGAAAGAAACAGAACAAAAACTCTGAAACAGCAGCCTCGGGATACGAGCAGCTGGACCTAAAGGACTTGACCAAGTTGTATCGGTTGTGACGCATGCCCAGGAAAGAGAAAATATTAAAAATTCAAGCCTTTATATTGATTTTATGATGAAGCAGTCAAATAAATAATGAACTCTAACTCTCTAAAGGAGAAGAGTTGAGAAACTGGGAAATAAGGACTTTTAAACATTGTGCTAGAATCCATACTCATACAAACACAAAATATTAATATAAATACAAACCTCTGGGGATTCTAAACCCTTGACCTGCTAAAACAGAATGCCTGCCCTAATCACTGCAGACAGAAAAAGAAGCGAGAGCCAATGACTACATGAACGGGCAGATACATTCAAAATGTTGACCTACTTAAAAATAAGTGTGCTAGCAGATTTCCCAACCAATCTTTCCTTCCATTTTGCATAACACGCTAGTACATTGGTGGGAATGAGTAAATGTTTTCCTGCAAATGGCCGGTAAGTCTTTCTCTTCTATGATTTGTAAAGCACAGCTAACAACCTCTTTCTGGTTCGTTGCTCACACAGGTCTCAGCTGAGTACATTTCTCCACCACACCACACTCTGCTTTGCCTCGCATGCTTTGGGTATTATTTTTAACATTTTATTCAAATTGCTTTCTCCACTGTATTTCATCAACCTATCATCCATTTTTAAGCCAGACTGTTGACAGTTCACAGTTGACAATTTTGTTCACAGTTGATGAATTCTGATTTGTTTTTATTCGTCCAAAATCATGTCACAGTAGAGGGGCGGAAGCAATCCTGAGGCTTTGCCGGCTTTAATAATTGGGCGTGAAGTGAGCGGCTGCCGACTGCACCAGTCGGATGCCACACATGCTGTCCCAGCTGACGGGAGAATAACCACCCGTTTCTGCCCGGGGCTTGAGTGGCTCAGAGGTCATCTGGAGGAAGCTATGCAGAGAAGCAAGGGAAGGTCTCATTTAGAACCTTACTGAACATCCATAAGTCTATGTGTTCCTTCCGCATTCAGCATATTCACTGAGCATCTACTATGGACCAGGCCCTGGTCTAGGTGTAGAACCCATGGGACAAAGGCCTGTCTCCATGAAGTTCACATGGCAGGCATTGATGGGAGTCAGGCAATTAAACAAGGGAGAGAAAGAGATGGGGAATAATGTATTGTATGGTGTGATCAGTAAATCTTCTGGAAAGATGACATCTGAGCAGAGAACAGAATAAAGTGAGGTATGCAGTTCTCTGGGGAAGGAGGGTCTGGGAAAAGGGAAGCACAAAGGTCTGGGGTAGAAGATTCTGACACACTTGAGAAACAGTGAGGAAGGTGGACAGGGATGAGGAGAGTGGTAAGGACCATCTCAGCAGAACCGACGGTCGGCCCATGTGTGACCTAGGGCACAGTGTCGCATATTCTCTCCCTCCCCCACCCCATGGTACACACAAACACACACACACACACACACACTCTTCTATGAGTTAAGATTACCAAATAAGTCAGAGCCTTAAACTTCTTTAAAACCAAGCTGCTAAAAATATAAAAGAGGAATTTTATACAAAAATTTTTTTTAAAGGCTGGAGTTAGAAAATCACCATTTTGAAACCCCTCATGTAATAATTGTGTCAGGAAAGGACCATTTAATGTTTGCTAGAAGTTTTGTGTGAAAGTTATTTCAGAACAAAACATTCACAGTCTCAAAGTGTCTCTTTACAGAATCTTGTGTTATTATTATACAAAGAAGAAAAGGTACACTTTCAACAAAATAAATGGCAGTCACTCCTTAACAAAGGGGTCCAAGCTAGTCCCACTGCCAGTGAGACAGGCTGACATGTGCCTCCTGATTTGCAATAAAAGGAAGTACACAGCAGCACCTGTGAGGCACTGGTATTAAAAATCTTGAACCCGAGTCTATGCATTAGGAAATAAGCAAATCCAAAATTGAGGACATTTTATAAGATAACAGCCTGAGCTCTAAAAACAAACAAAACAGACCTGGGGTGGGTGGATTATCACACTAATCATTCCTAATTAAAATAGATTAAAAATATGAAACAAATGAAATGAGTGAAAGTTCACTGAACCTTGACTAATAATTATTATACAAAACACATTATTATACAAACATATTGGGAAGAATTTCTGTGATGTTAACGTGAACTATATGCTAAGTGATATTACGGAATGTTCTTATAGGTGTAGCAGTATTTACTAAGGTGGTTATATAAGAGAACATCCCTTTTCTTAGGAATGAGGTGTCACAATGCTGCAAATTACCTCTAGTTGAGGGGAAAGTGTGTATGTATATAGAGAAAGCAACTGTATACAAATGTGGCAAAATGCTAACAACTGTCAAATCCTTTTTTTTTTTTTTTTTTAATGAAACTGAGTTTCACTCTTTTTGCCCAGACTGGAGTACAGTGATGTGATCTTGGCTCACTGCAACCTCTGCCTCCTTGGTTCAGGCAATTCTTATGCCTCAGCCTCCCAAGTAGCTGGGATTACAGCCGCCTGCCACCACGCCCGGCTAATTTTTGTATTTTTAGTAGAGATGGGATTTCACCATGTTGGCCAGGCTGGTCTTGAACTCCTGACCTCAATGGATCTGCCTGCCTCGGCCTCCCAAAGTGTTGGGATTAGAGGTGTGAGCCACTGCAACAAGTGTCAAATCTTAAGTATGGGTATACAGTATGCAGTGCATTATTCTTTAAATGCTCTATACATTGAATAATTATTAAACTAATAGCCAGGGAAATAAAATTTAACTTGCTTTGCCCTGTGGTGCTCAGAAAACCCTTCCCAGAAACCACTCCTCTTTTCCCTCCCTAAACTCCTCACTCCCCAGTGGCTTGCCACTCCCAGCTGTTGCAATTACTGTCCCTCCTGCAGCTGCTCCCTAGAGGGTGGCTCTCAGGGAAGGGACTGGCTTACACCTGGTAAAGAGCCGACCTTCAGTAAGGATCTGTTCACAGGACGAGTGACTGAGGTTTTCCCGGAGCACAAAATGCTCTTAATTGATATCAGCAATTAGCTTTGCTCATTTTCTCACCTTGTTTATCTTGTCAGTGATTTAGCAAACCCTTTTCCAGTGAGCGAGGAGGTTTCAGTCCAGTTCATGTACAGATTGTCACAGGCTTGGTTTTAGAGGCAAGGCTGAATAAAGGTTCTCTAAACTGTGTAACAAAACCAGTGGAGAGTCTTGCCGTCTTCCAGGTAATGCATCCCAGAGTGACCTGCACCTTGATGAGGAGCACAGCCCTGCTCTGCACGCGCAGGCCAACCCCCCGCAGGCTGCTGGCCTCTGCTTTAAGCTCCCCAACTGTACACAAGGGGAGCTGCCTGGACTCGCCTTCACTGTTCTCACTTCTGAGCCTTTTCCCTGTTATCTCCTCTACCTGGGATTTTCTGAGGACTGGACACTATTCCAGCTTTTTAAATTTCTGTAGGATTTTTTACTCATCTGAGATTTTAGAGAACAGTGCAGATAAGGAAGGACTTGGAGTTCCTGAGCCCGTCATCCTCTCAAGGAGATGGCCGATCCCCTGGAGGGAGGACAGCCTGGTGTCCTTCAGAGAGAGGGGACCATGCACAGCCTCGCCAGGCAAGGCCTGGATGCAGCAGAGAGCCCAGATCCAAGCGGCTCTCAGTGAAGGCACACATTCGAGGGCCAGCTGCGGCCCTCCCCTCTTCCATGCCGGCCTCCAGTGTTTTCCTCCAGGAAAGCTTCTTTGAGGCTCCTGCCTCCATGCCCTGGGACAATTTTCCCATTGCACTCACCACACTGGACAGTGCTTATCTGTTTACATATCTACTTCTTGAAGGAAATAGGTGTCTTTGACTAGATCCTAGCATATCACAAGTACAGATGCTCCTAAGTTACTATGGGATTACACCTCAATAAACCCATCTTAAGGTGAAAATACCAGAAATCGGAAGTGCATTTAATACATCTAACTTACCAAACATCATAGCTTAGCCTAGCCTACCTTCAATGTACTCAGAACACACATTAGCCTACACTGGGGCAAAATTATCTAACATAAAGCCTACTTAATAATGAAAGGGAGAATGTCTCATGTAATTTATTGAATACTGCACTGAAAGTAAAAAACAGAATGGTTGACGGGGAGCCAAAGCAGAGTTTCTACCGAGTTCGTATCCCCACTGCACCACCCTAAAGTCATAAGGTCTTCAGCTGAGCCATTGTAAGTCAGGGACCATCTGTGTTTAATACAGTTTTTGTTTATTTATGGGATACACCTTATATAACCCTATGTGAGAGCAGGTATTAATATATTTGTTCTGCAGATTAAGAAACTGAAACTAGAGAAAGCAAATGACTGCCTCAGGGACACAAGGCTTCTAAGTGGCAGATTTAATTTTTAATCCAACACCTTCTCTTCTGCCTAGTCCAGTGCTATGTATAATGACTCACAGACTTCTACAACAATGAGGGGTTTGGCAAAGCCTTTACAAGCAACCTAAGGGGACAGAGAGGAGAGGGAAATTATGCCCAGAGCTAGAGAAAGGGAGAGAGGATGGGAGGTGCCCTGCTGGAGGCTGTGTGGTGCTGACCTGCAGGGAAGGAATAGAGCCGGCCAAATGGAAGCCTTGCTTGTCAACTGTGACTTGTCACTAGTGATCGTGATGTTATTCAATGCCACTGCAACATGTTGCAATGAGCTGAGCCAACTTACAGAAGTGAAGCTGATCAGGTCGTGTGGCTACCTTCTGTGTTCCAGAAGCTGACAGCACCCAGACTTAGCCTCTCCTGGAGGCGGAAGAGCTTGCAGCTATTCCTTGCTAACAGATTAACTGTCAAGTTGATCATCAGAGCTCTCCTGAGCAGTCCAGAGTGGCCCAGCCAGGGCCTCGGAAGACAGTTCTGTTCACAGGATCAGGCCTGTGAACTTGACTCCTACCTGATGCAAGCTCCTTCAAAGAGCTGTTCATGCTCACACACCCCAGGGCCACGTATAAGCTGTGCCTCAAAAGTGAACAGGAAGAGTTGCTGAAATTAATTCATCATCTTCCCAGAAACTCTAGAAAGTTAGGGACTATCACTTCCATCTTACAGATGAGAAGGAAAAGAGTAAGAGAGGAAGAGACACGAATAAGAATGAAAGGAGAGAGCAAGAGAAAAAAGCTGTCAAGGAGGCATGGCAGAGGGGCGGAGGGAAGAAAAGGGAGAAGAAATACAAGGAAGAAAGCAAAGGAGATGTTTCAAGTATAGAAAAAAGCACAAAACATCCCAGAGAGACTGGGGAGGTGCAAGAGGCAGTGTGGGAGCAGAGGCCTTGTTCACACGTCTCTCGCCATCCTGGATATGTGGGCTCAGGCAGCGCTAGGAGAGAAGAAGAGGATGTTCTGAGGGGCTAGCACCTGCTTAAAATTGTCTCTGCTGCTATAAATGTCCTTGAGATCCCTGTCTCTGCAGCTGTCCTGGTTTCCTTGGAGGGGACCCAGCACACAGTAAGCCTACCCTCCATGCTGCCTGTTCCCCACTGGCTGGGGCAGTTGACTCCACAGTCAGAATTCACCGGAGGTGGGGGCAAGTTGAGGTGGCACCCAATTCTATCTTGACTCATGCCTCTCCAGCTGTGATGGTGGGTAGAAAGCTCTCTGCTCAGGACCTCTCATTGCAAACCTAGTAGGGAATTTGACACACAGGGTGCCACTGCTTACTGGGGTTAAAGGCAGTCAACTTTACATCACCTGTCCAAATCTTCATTTCCTTCTCACTAAAGATAAGCCCTACTTCCTGCAGCCATCCAGGGAGAAGAAAGGATAACTAGTGATCTCTAGATCCCCAGTGCCTGGCAGCATTCCTGGCACATGGTAGACAATGAATCGTTGCTACTTCCTCTATCCCCCAAACCCCACATTCATTCCTTTCTTCCTCCAATAGCTTCTCCACACTGGAGTGATCTTTGCAAAATGCAAATGTGTTTGTGACACCCTGCCCCAGCTTACAACCATTCCTCGTATCCTGCTATCCTCAGACAAAACGTAAAGATTTTTAGCCCAGCAGAAAAGGTCCCCAGAGATCTGTACCCCACATCTCTCTCCACCCACAGCCCTTATGTCTCTCCAAACACATGCTTAGTATGACCCAGTGTGCAGACCATGCTCACTCCCCCACCTTGGTCTCCTCTGCCATGTCCCTCAAGGCTTCCTCTTGGATGCTCTGCTTTGTCTACAGCTCCCCCAGGAACCTGCAGTAGGCATTCCTAGGTACTTCCAGCACCTGCCCACCTCTAAGACTCTGATCTCTTGCCCTGTAGTTCAATGACAGCTTTCTTGTCTCTCTCTTATGAGCTCCATGAAGACTAGGTTTTAACTCAGCCCCAGTGCCTAGAAAATAATCTGAAAAAGAGTATGTACTAAATAAATGTTGGACAGCTACACAGATGCATGGGCAGGAGGATACAGGAACAGCCCCTCCCATCTAACCACCTGCTAAGCAATCGACACAGCTCTGTTGTCATCTCCAATGCACTTGGCCAAATGAGGTCATCTCTCACTATCCAACTCCAGGCTTCGATACTCCTTGGCTCCATGAATAGCATCCAGACGGTCACAGTCCAACAGATGCAAAGCTTTGACTGTCTCTCCTACCATCCCTTCTGATTCTCCCCACTTACTGGAATGTCCTACCAAATATTCCAAACTAACATTTTCCTCTCAAGCCATGATCAAAACTCAAGTCCTCCCTTTTGAGGCCAATCACCATCTGGTGCTGATCCTGCTTCTTCAACCACACTGCCCTGACTCTTCAACATGCAGCAATCCTTCAACAGCTGTCCTCTCCCTCGCCCCGGTCCCTGCTTCACTCTGATGTTGTCCTCATCTGAATACCTCCTTCTTT